TAAATTAGTTTTGCTTTCTTTGCCCTCCGGAGGAGCTTGAAAGAAAGCAGTCTCTGGACTCCAAAACAAAGGGCCAGGAGAAAATGTTATATCCCTTAAAACTAAACTAAACTGGATTAAATACCTACCCAGTTTAACCCCCAGAATGCCTGGAGAGAGGAATGGTCCAGGCTACCTTCTTGTGGCCTGACCATTAGTGATCCCTCTACCAAACCACCTGGTTTTCACCTACCTTGCTCTGCTGGTCAAAACTGAACAGAATTACGTATGATACCGAAAGGGCCTCGGCCCTATAGCAGTGGGGACTGGAAATATTCCCCTTGTTGCAATTGTGATGCTGATGTGCGAGCTGTTAAACAAATTGTGCGAGCTTGCCCACCATGTGCATCCTCTGGATCCCCAGAAGTTCTGCACGAAGCCACCCCAGAGGGATAGCTGAATGGGACATCCAGTTACGAGGACACTGCCGTAGCCCTGTAGACGTTTTGCAAATAATTACGCGAATTGTATGTATGTTTACTTCTCTTGTGTCATGTTCTCATCATGCGCTAAATAAATAAATAACCCCCGGTAAAAGCAGGCTTATGAGTTCAGAGAAATGGCCCAAGAATCTTGTTTTGAGTCCTTCCAATTAGGACCCTCTTTCTACCCTTTGAAATGGTTTCAGATGTACTTATTTAATAACATGCCTTTATTATTTTTACAAATAACTTAAGCCAGTGACCGCATCCAGCACACCTGGACGTAGGCTTAGGTTTAGAATGCGACTTAGATTTTTAGATTTGGGTTTAGATTTAGAGAAAAAACCAACAGTTTTTTGCTTTTTAAAAAGATATACATTTCCAGCACTTTTTTTACATCTAAATTTATATAGTGCCTCTTATTAAATATCTCTTTTTATCGCCGCTGTTTGATATCAAGAACGAAGCACAGGTTGTTTAAACTCAAGTCATTGTGGCTTGGAAACCGCCGTTTACGTTCTGACTGTCCAGCAGCTGAAGTGTTCGTGCATGTCCTGGATTTTATTCAATTATGAGATGATTCTTTGGTTCAGTCATGTATTTAAAAAATGAAGGTTTTCACCAAAGGAGGGAAGTTATATATTCTGATGCTGTAATTTGCTGAAGACGGAGAAAGGGTTAGCAGAAAGAGAATATTATCCAAGGACAAATAAAACGGATGTGTGGCAAGGAACATTTCTCTCTCAAAATTATGTTCCTAATTCCCGTATTTTGTTACACCGTGAGGGTTGAGTATGAATAATGAATCTGCAGCTCACCGTCAAAAGTATGGAGGGAATATTTTAAATGTTTAATTATTCAAATGAAGGAATTAACGTGCCATCCTCCCCTTCACAGTTCTGCTAGTGATCTCAGGCTCCATGGAAAAGCTAGTGAGGAACACGGGAGGGAAGGATAACAAAGATGGCAAACAATGAGAAGCAAAATAAAATAAAATATGAAAATATTAATTACTTCGAAATAAAGAAATTTGGATTTCTGGAAAGTCCACCTTTCTTCCTTGGAGATCCCAAAGTAGTATGCGCAGATTGAATGTCCGGTTGACAAGATTCAATGCTTCGTTTGGAAGGAGGTCTGTCTTCTCAAGAGAAAACAAGAATTGGAGATGGTCAAGAGCAACCTAGAGAGTTATAAACCTGGCAGCAGATAGAGAATACCAAAGTTGGAAGGGATCTTGGAGATCTTCTAGTCCAGTGGTTCTCAACCTATGGGTCGCGACCCCATTTGGGGTCGATCGACCATTTCACGGGGCTCGCCAAGCAAGGCTGTCTGCCATTTTTTTCCCCCTTTTCCAGCGGGTGCCTTACCTCCCTTGGGCTGGGCCAGCTGGTGGCCCATCCGGTGGTCGGCCTGCTCCGTCTCTGCCACTTGCCAGCTATGCCTCGGCCGGCGCAGGGGGCGGCACCACGCATGTGTGGTGCTCCCGCGCAGGGAAAGTCCTCGACTTACGACCGGTTGGGTAGTCCTTGACTTACGACCGGTTTAGTCCTCGACTTACGACCAGTTGGGGGTCGCGGCATTAAAAAGGTTGAGAACCACTGTTCTAGTCTAACCCTCTGCTTAAGCAGGAGAATCTATACCGACTGCCTACTAGGCAGTCGTAAAGCGAATCCAACATCCCCCCCCCCCATTGATTTTTCTTATCGGAAGGCACTGGAGGTCACAAATGGGGATCACATGACCCCCGGGACAATGCAACCGTCGCAAGTACATGCCAGTTGCCAAGCGCTTGGATTTTGATCACATGACTGTCGGCTTGCCGCAATGTGTGAAGACCAGCCACCAGTTCCTTTTTTCAGTGCTGTCGCTGCTTTGAACAATGACTAAATGAATGGTCATGAAGTCGAGGACTTCTTGTACCAGGGCTGTTATCCGGGGACTCAGCCAGCTATCTACAATTCCAATTAAAGTATCGATGTTTCTCTTTTCTTCTCTTTGACCTTGGCAGTGAAGTACTGTGACCAGAAACTGGGCGTGGAAAATTCCAGTGATCTAGAACAAAAGGGACAGGAAGCCGAGGTCTTTCTCCTTCCTGATGTCTTTGGGAGAGTCGGTGGTCATCCTGAGCGACGTCTCAGGGTGAGCCTAGCCTGACATGTGTCCGCCAGAGATCTCGGTGACGGGCTGGCTGCTCAGAGACCTTATAAGAGAGAGAAATTGAATGTTTGCCTCACCAAAGGGAAATCCAATTAAGCCGAAAATTGGATTGCAAGTGCTTGTTTAATTTAGAAATGCATTTTGAGATGAAATATTGGCAGAGGAAGACGCCAGCAAATTGTCCAGCAGGATAAATTACGCAAGGTGGGAATACAGACAGTTTAACGGCTTTCTTGGAGAACGATTTTCCTTCCTCCAAGAGGACGGAGAACTTGGCCAGGGTTCTACAAGGACCTTGTTAGAATCGTCGCATGGGAAAACGGGAGGCTGTACATGTCATAAACAGCTGGGCCAAAACACTCCTCAAAAATCTTGGCCAGAAGACAGAAGCATTCCATTCACCTTTGGAGTCTAACAGGAGAAAGGTAGTCCTCAACGTACAACAGTTTATTTAGCGACCGTTCAAAATTGCAACGGCACTGAAGTGACTTATGATCGCTGTTTACACTTACGACCGTTGCAGCCTCCCCAAGATCATGTGATCAAAATTCAGACGCTTGGCAACTGACTCCTATTTATAACGGCCGCAGTTATTCAGAGTAAAGGAATTTCTTCTTACTTCCTGTCGGAGTCTGATGGTTAAAATTAGGATACTGTCACAATTTCTGCCATTGACACGATAACAAAATAGTACCAATAAAGTAGAATATTTATAGCTCGGGGTTAAAATGAGGGGAAGCTTGGTGTTTTCCGGGGTTGGTTGTTTTCTTGCAGACATTTCATTACCCAACAATATAACATCATCCGTGCTAGCACTAATTCATTTGGGTAATGAAACATCTAGAAGAAGAAAATGAAGCGCAGAGAGCGCTAAGGACCCCTCATTAGCAAAATAATTGATGACATAAGGTTTGGAAGCAGTTTTATGAACATATTCTGCACCTTCAACCCCCAGCTAGAATGTAGCTCAGGCTCACTCAAAACACTTCATCACAAGCTCACATATCATGTTGGCTTAGCACAAAGGTCCAGTTCACAGTCGCTCCGTGATAAAATACAAGCCTTGCATACAAAACGCCTCCAGTTCAATCCGTGCTACTTCTTCAGATACGGGTCCAGAAAGAAGACATTCTAGCACTACGTTTTGACAGGTAGAATATAAAAAAAATTCAACGACAGTCCCTAAATCAATAAGTATGCTGAAGCACAGTCTACCCAAAGACAGAATGGCTTCGTTTATAGTGTGGCACAACTCACCCCCCCCACGCACCATAGCTGCCACACATCAATGCAAAGACACCGTCGTACATAATGCAGTTTAGAATGTGACAGCTGAAAAAATAATAAGCCACTGAACAGAATAAGAGAAAGCCTGTTAAATGCAATCCTGTGGAACGATAAGTATTATCCGAGGTCTTCCAACAGCAAGGATACTCAACTCTACAAACAAAATAATTCTCAAAATGTCAGGCTTCCTAAGATACGATGCTCTCCTCCGGTTGCGTTCATGATTGCAAACCCCAGAGGCATTTTTTTGTATCACTACTCACTAGCCTTGGTAGGATTGACTGTCCGGAGATGGTTATTAGAAGACACATTTTATTTATTGTACTCAAGTTATAGTCCGTCTTTATTATGTTATAAGGAACTGAAGGTGGCAAACATACATAATATTCCTCTGCAGGAAGAAGTGATAAGAAAAATCCTGGACTGTGCTGAGATGGACAAATTAACAAAAGAGATAAAAGAAAAGGAAGACACAGAGTACTATCTAACATGGAACAAGTGGTATGACTGGTGGGAGACTAGAAATAATAGAGAATAAATATGGAAAGGTCAAAAGTGAAAATATGTGTATAATAATGTGTAATAATAATAATATGAATTATTCTTAGTAAGAAGTAGAATATGAAGGAAGAAAAATGTAAATAAGAAACGAGGCAATAAGGACAAATACCGTAAATGCCGGTGTACAAGGCAACCCGGCGTATAAGACGACCCCCGTCTTTATAGCCGGGCCGCATTCCTAGAACGTCGTCTTATAAGCCGGAAACTACCAGTATTTCCGGCGTATAAGACGACTCGGCGTATAAGACGACCCCCGTCTCTGGCGCCAATTTCAGCGCTCGCGGAAGTCGCCTTATACGCCGGCATTTACGGTATTCTAAAGAAGAATAAGGGGGAGAAATGTAAATAATAGAAGATTACCGTTACATAATCATTGTTTAAAAAAAGGGGAGGAGTATATACTGTGTATGTATGTGTGTTTTGTTTTGTTGGTTTAAAAATAAAAAATATATACAAAAAAAAATACTCCTCTACGAGGTGGGCTGGGCAGAGAGAGACAGAGAATGACCCAAAGTCACCCAGTCAACTGTCATAGCTAAGGGGGGGGGGGACTAGAACTCACTGTCTCCTGGGGATTGCCCCAAGGTCACCCAGCTGGCTTTCAGGACTAGAATTTGGAGTCTCATTATGATTAGTCCAAAGTCACTCAGCTGGCTTTTGCGCCTAAGGCAGGACTAAAACTCACCATCTCCTGGTGACTGACCCAAAGTCACCCAGACAGCTTTCATATCTAAAGTAGGACTAGAAATCCCAGGTTTCTCCTGGTTTCTAGGCCAGCACTTTAATCACTACATTAAACTGTACCGCCATTTCTATCATTGGATGCAAACAGAACTAAGGCATTTTTCAGCTCAGAAACTGGGTGACTGTAGCCCAGGTAGTTCCTTCTTCTTTCCTCTTTTTAAGGGCAGACCTCCCCCCCCACACACACACACACAGCTTTGCTGGGGATTGATGGGTTGGTTGGTTGGTTGATTGATGGTCAACAGCATCACTCATGCTCTTGTGCATTGGCTCAGAGGTTGCCAGGAGAATGTCAGGAAGATACTATGTGCCTCAGAGATGGCGCAGGGAATGTTCGTTTTGGAATCTGGAGGCAGACCCAGACGAGACAAAGACACAGCCTGGAGTTGGGAGATAGTACACAAGATACTCAGAGGCAAAAGGAAGAAAATCAGCTTCTCTCTCTCTCTCTCTCTCTCTCCCTCCCTCCCTCCCTCTCTCTCTCTCTCTCTCCCTCCCTCTCTCTCTCTCTCTCCCTCTCTCTCTCCCCTTTCAGCTGAACAGATCACGCTGCTTCTGTCTGCAGGCTGTTAACGTCCATATGCCTGCCAGAATTTGACAACAATGAAAATGTCCCCTGAATGCTATAAACCCATCTGGAGAAGTGGGACTCGGTTAATTCGTTAGTTTTGATTGCCTTGCAGTGACAATTAAATTTCTCTTTTTCTCTTCCTCTTTTTTTTCCCCCTTCCTAAAAAGGTCCTGCCCCTTGAATCAAAGTGAGCAGAGAATATTTCCCAGGAGAGAAGGCTGTCTTGTATTCTCAGCATCAAAATGGGAAGAAATCCTTGCTGCTCTCTGAGCTTGGCTGTTTTCTTGCAAGATATTCCATTATCCAAGTAGGTAACATCGTCAGTGCTAGAAAGGAATGGGGTTTTCAAGTGGAGGAGAAGGGGGGAGGAGGAGGAGGAGGGCTGTGTGGTCCTTGGTGCTCTCTGAGCTTGGTGGTTTTCTTGCAGACGTTTCATGACCTAACTAGGTAACATCATCAGTGATAGAAAGGAGTGGGGTTTGCAGAATGGAGGAGGAGGAGGACGACGACAGTGGGGTCCTTGGTACTCTCTGAACTTGGTTGTTTTCTTGCAGATGTTTCATGACCCAACTGGGTAACATCATCAGATCTCCTCCTCCTCCACCCCTTCTTCTTCTTCTTCTTCTTCTTCTTCTTCTTCTTCTTCTTCTTCTTCTTCTTCTTCTTCTTCTTATTCTTCTTCTTCTTCTTCTTCTTCTTCTTCTTATTCTTCTTCTTCTTCTTCTTCTTCTTCTTCTTCTTCTTCTTCTTCTTCTTCTTTTTCCTCTTCCTCCTCCTCCTCCTCTTCTTCTTCTCCTCCTCCTCTTCTTCTTCTTCTTCTTCTTCTTCTTTTTCCTCCTCCTCCTCCTCCTCCTCCTCCTCCTCCTCCTCCTCCTCCTCCTCCTCTTCTTCTTCTTCTTCTTCTTCTTCTTCTTCTTCTTCTTCTTCTTCTTCTTCTTCTTCTTCTTCTTCTTCTTCTTCTCCTCCTCCTCCTCCACAAACCCTTCTTTCCTAGCACTGATGATGTTACCTAGTTGGGTAATGAAACATCTGCAAGAAAAGAACCAAGCTCAGAGAGCACCAAGGACTCCACAGTTCAGAAGCTACAAACATTCTCCTTTATGGGTATAAATCCACTTCTCTTTCTATAAAGATTCAGATCTACTTAGCCTGGGATTTCCATACAGACTAGTTATATTCCCAAGCACCCTAATCCTCTGGAGCCTCTTGGTTATCCATTCCTGGTTTAAACCTTTCCCCAGAAGAAAATAACCAGGTTTGGACAGTGATCTAAACAGGGAGAAATGTCCCCTAAAGGGGGTCCTCTTCCTGATAAGAGACTGAAAATGTAGGAATTGAGCCTCTCTATATGCAAACTGGCGAAACTGTAAAAATTGATTGGTTTGATTACCTCATCTCTTTCCTCTGCTCATGAATACAGTGAGGCAAAGAGTGCAGTGAGGTTTCTTGAGCAAACGGAGGCTGCCCACATTCTGTGATTCAGATAAAAATCAATTAGCGTGGATTAGCGGTGGAAACAATCAATGCCGGCCTGGTGTTACACTCTGGCAACCACCACAACAGATAGAGGAGGCCTGGCAAACAAAAAGCCACCCAGTCTTTGGGACACAAAGCCAACATTGGCGGCACCTTGAAATACCCTGAAGAGTCCTTCCGCATTTCATCTGTGCGGTGTGTTTGTAGACACTGCAAAAGAAGAAGCAAAGTGCATCATCCCTCTCGTTAGAGTGACTCATTCACACTTATATCATTGTACGGCACTAGGGTGTCCCATTATCCGAAGAAAGTTCGGTCTCTGCTAAGACTGCAGCTTGAACGGGTGCCAGGGTGCTGTCGCACAGATGCCAGCCTCAAGTAAGGATAAGGAGGGCTGGCTTTAATCGCTTCACCAAAAGCAGCAGACGGCCGTCATCTTTGCAAGGCGATGGAATTGGCTGGACAGAAATGATGTAAGGTAGCAGTCCTTGACTAACAAACACAATTGTACCGCTGTTAAGCATGGCGGTTGTTAAGGATCCAGTCCAAGCCGGGAATAAACTACATGGCGACTGCTTTAGACAGAAGGTTGCAGTTTCTTGAAGAGGAGAGCCGGACAGAAAGATGGCTCTGGCAGAAAAGAGAGCGAACACATGTAGGGAGTGGGTTTTTATACCCTCTTGGAACTTTCCTGTTCCTATTGGAGGCTTTGTATTTCCTGTGTCATGTACTTTGACCTGAGTCTGAGTGTGCCCCTTTGGCATCTGTGAGTTAATCCTATTATGTCCTGTCTTAAGAGTTTGGGTGAGGTATGTACATTTTAAGAGTCTTGGTCTTCCTGATCTCTTCAGCTTCTAGCTGAAGAGCTCCAGACTTCCTGAATGGATTATTACATCTGCATTTCTAAAAGCTGGTTTCTGCTGAGTTGTCTGGCTGGTGTGTGTGTATATGTGGGTGTGGAGACGTTTCTGCCTTTTTAAAGATCTTCTCCATTATTCCTTTGGGGAAATATATTCTGCCTTTTTAATATTCCCCAAAATATTTTTCTCAGGATTGTTCCCACAGTAATAACAACAACAATAGAGTTGGAAAGGAAATTGGAGGTCTTCTAGTCCAACCCCCTGCTCAGGCAGGAAACCCTATATCAGGGGTAGGCAACCTTGGCTCATGACTCATGGACTTCAACTCCCAGAATTCCTGAGCCAGAATGGCTCAGCTTGGAAACCTCTCCCTTTCCTCTCAGCATGGCTGGCTTAGGAATTCTGGGAGTTGAAGTCCACGAGTCATAAAAGAGCCAAGGTTGCTTACCCCTGTTCAAATGCCTGAATTTTGATCATGTGACCGTGAGGGAAAAATATCTACATATTTAAACCAGAGGTCTTCAAACTTAGCCCTTTTATGACTCGTGGACTTCAACTCCCAGAATTCCTGCGCCAGCATGGCTCAGCTTGGAAACCTCTCCCTTTCCCCTCAGCATGGCTGGCTCAGGAATTCTGGGAGTTGAAGTCCACGAATCATAAAAGAGCCAAGGTTGCCTACCCCTGCCCTATACCATTGTTAAAGGATATAACTGCGGCTGTGAATCATACCGCCATTAAGCAAATATGGCTTCCCTTATTCACTTTGCTTGCTGAAGCTGGCTGGGAAGTTGCAACTGGTGATCACGTGACCCTAGGATGTTGCAACTGTCATATATACCTGCCAGTTCCCAAGTGCCTGAATTTTGCTCATGTGACTATGAGAATACTGTGACGGTCAAAAGTGTGAGAATCTGTCGTAAATCAGTGTTTCTGATGCCATTGTAACTTCAAATAGTTGCTAAACTCATGAATGAAGGCAAATTAGTTGCTGAAGTAATCATTATAAGCCAAGAACTATCTGTAAAAATGACCATGCATGAACTTTTGATTTCCAATGGCCCCAATTTTAGTTTCGGATAAAACTTTGCAGGATTCGCAAAGAACACTAAACGGATTTATAGGGAATGGGAGGGGGAAAAAATGAGAATAAGATTTTAAAACTTGCAGGATTGAAAGGAAAGAGATGACCATGGCTTTTTTAACCTTAAATGATACTACTGTGCTGGCTTTCTATCATGGATAATAAAATGAATAAAATCCCCTTACAGCAGAATATCAATCACAGATCGAGCTAGCTTAGCCAATTGTTTTCATAGGGACTTACAGTATGAGTCAACCAAAGAAGAAAAGAATTTGAAACACCAGAGGACATTTGACTAAAAAAAAAAAAAAAATGGAATCTTTTAAAAACAAGAATAAGACAGACAACTTCAACATTAGCATCACAGTCAAATGTCTTTTACTTCAGCAATAACTATAGTAACAAAGATTTAATTGCTTATGCCGATACGTGTGTTACATCAAGATTCAGGAAACAGGCTAAAGAGACAAATGTTTGATGAATGTACGAATTTATTGTGGCTGATGTACTCACGTATTGCTGGAAAAATAAAAAATGACCTCGGGAAAGGAGAGATTTTGAGAAAGTTGGCAGAATTTAAAATATTTATAAAATACCAAGGTCACCTATTAGGACGGATATACAAATTGCCAAGGAAATATGACACAGTAATAGAACAAATCCAAAACTGAATGATAAATGAATGTAAAACTTCCAAAAGCCAATCATAGCACAACAATGGGAAAATCTATGGAAGAATCAATAATTTTTTCCCAGATTATAATTTAAGGGAAAATTGATATAAAACGATTCACAGAAGGTATATGAATTACTTATAAAGGCAGGATAAAAGCAAAATCTAAAGCTAAAATCTAAATAACTCAGTTAATAATGATAACTGATCTTCCTCAAATAAAAAACAGTGCAGTTGCCTTTTGAAGAAGAAAAAAGCATCTTTGAGGCCACTCGGTTAAGAATTACCGAGCAAGTCAAATCATATAACAATAAACGTTGGAAATTCCATAACAAAGAAGGAACACTTTTTCATATGTGGTGATCATGTTAAAAACAACAACAAGAGTTTCAAGAGTGCTGGAAAGAAGTACACCAACATTTTCAGAAAATCCTAAAAATAAAATCTGAACCCCCACGTATTAGACATAATTGCAGAGAATTTAAATGAAAAATATCACAAAGATTTATGCTGAAAGCTGCAAGAAAAAAAAATTAAGAACAACACTGGGAAAAAAAAGAGATATCAGATTGGGAAGCCAAAATCGAAATATAGTCTGGCAAAATACATTGGCAAAATTGACATTATATATCCACAAGCAAGAATGGCTCTCATATATACGACACATTATCCAGCAGGAGAAATGTAGACATTTAGAATATTGTTTTTAGGAAGAAAGTTGTGAGGCCAATAAAAATAATTAGATAAAAAGATTTAAAGAGGTATTAGTAACACTCTTTAATGTTTAATATAAAGCATAAATATCTAGGCTGTGTTCAGCAGTTGGCAAACTCAGTGGAAGGGAAAGAGAAAATGTATTATTAGAAAGTGTTTCCAGAATGTTTTTATTGATATTGATAGTTGGTCTTTTTTAATCTTTCTTGATTGTTACCACCCAGTGTTTTTTGCCTTTGTGCTTTATTATTCTTTGAAAAACAAGTATCTTTATTTTGTTTTTTGTTTTTACATTTTGATGTTGCCATGTTCAACCTGCAACATTAATCACATAACAAAACTGGTACTACAGCCGAAAGAACTGATTGTTGATGAACTACCCATGGTTAATTGTGGAAGTGGTTTTTTTTTTTTCAAAATTAGCCACTTTTAAGATGAGTGGATCCACGTGCCCAAGGCAAGAATGGAGTTCAGAGTCTTCTGCTCCCAGTCCAGCACAACCTCTACATCCTCAATAAGAATAAATCCCTCTAGTTTTCTTGGCCACATTTTCAAAGGCAATTTATTATGACATTTCTACACAGCTCATCTTACAAAGTGACTGTCCTGCCTTAGACAGGAAAGCCGGCTGGGTGACTGTGGGCCAGTCACCAGGAGACGGTGAGTTCTAGTCCCACCTTAGCAGATAAGCCAGCTGGGTGACTCTGAGCCAATGACCAAGAGACTGAAAGTTCTAGTCCTGCCTTGGGCATGAAAGCCAGCTGGGTGCCTTTAACCACTAGACCAAACTGGCTCTCCTTAGACACACTTATAGCCCTTCCAAAACACACAAGGCCATGACAGAACCAAATTAGTCGCAAATACAGGTTTCATTCTCTCTCCCTCCCTCTCAGTCCAACCTACCTCACAGGCTTGGGGAAAACAGGAGGAAAGAGAATTAGGTGTGTTCGCTGCCTTGACTTACCTATAAAAATGATAAAGCCAAGATGTAATAATAATTAAAAATATAAACACGTGACTAAATGCACAATGTAAAATCCAGTTAAGAACAAGGTTAAAATTCAACCTTGCCTTCTTTCCAGGGCTGATTGAGAGATGGGGGGAGGGAACTGGCCCCAAGACCCCAGCGGAGTTGTCTGCTAAGGCAAGCCCAGCGCTCCCACTTGTCCACTTTCAGCCCAGTGCCTTTAACCACGAGTAGGAGCCCACCCCAATCTGTTTCCTGTCTCACTGTCTTTTGCAAAGGGAGCAGCTGCCTCTGAGCATCAGCAGAGCGCTCCTCCCGCCCAAGCCCAACCCAGGCACTCCTCAAAGTTGGAACCAATCTTGTTGTAAGCGTCGCAAACCTGTGCTCGCCACACGAGGAAACTCCAAAGAAATGCAATGCAAGAAATGCATTTTCCCAATGCAAGGAAATGCAATTCTACCCGGGCCGAAAAGTTCAATTCCCCCCCCCCCCGTGTTCCAGGGGTGGGGGCAACCTGCTCGGTCCCAGCCCCGCCCCTAGCTTCCTAGACCACGCCTCCCCCATTAGCCTTCGCCCCTTCGCCTGCCAAGTTCCTGACTTTTTCCTCCTGTCCGTTTTTTTTTTAAGGTCTGCTTTTGCTCCCCGGAAGGGATCGGCCTGCTTGCGCTCCTCATGGCTGAGAAAGGACAAAATGAGTTGCTAAAAGCCCGAAACAGGACCCTGAGCGTCTTCCGCGAAGGTATATTAGAGATTTATACATTGCATTCCTGAGATTAAATTTGCAATCGCTGCCGTAGGCAAAGCGGCGGAACCTTTGCGTGCGGAGCGCGGCTGGCCCGGAGGCTTATCCGCGTCGTACTGCTGGACACTGGGGGACCGAAATAGGCTTGCACCGAAGTCCAGGGAAAGCAAGCGGGGAGTGGGAAGCGTGATTTTTCCTGTGCATTTGAGACAATGGGAGCGAAGAGTACAGGGGGGCCAAATGTTGCAGTGTAGCAACTCAGCCAGGTTTCCCTGGGTTGGTTGGGGATAATGGACATTGTAGTTCAGCCAGTCCAGCTAGTTTGAAGGGGTGGAAGGGTCAACTCTTTTGGAAAAGGAGAGGGCATGAGTTTTTAATAATCCTTCCTGATTCTTCAGACTTGCTAGATCAGGGGTCTTCAAACTTGGCCCTTTTATGACTTGTGGACTTCAACTCCCAGAATTCCTCAGCAGGCTGAGGAATTCTGGGAGTTGAAGTCCACAAGTCATAAAAGGGCCAAGTTTGAAGACCCCTGGTCTGGATCCAAGCCTGCAGTTTCATCAAAATGGCTGACTGAGGAATTCTGGGAGTTGAAGTCCACAAGTCATAAAAGGGCCAAGCTTGAAGACCCCTGTGCTAGAGGGTGATGCTGACTCCTGCCTCGTCTCTTCTTCTCCACACCTTCCCTCTGCCCAGAAATTAGTGCAGGTAGTCCTTGACTTACAACCACAATTGAACCCAATTTTTTTGTTGCTAAGCGAGACATTTGTTAAGTGGGTTTTGCCCTGTTTTACAATCTTTCTTGCCATAGTTGTTAAGTGAATCACTGCAGTTGTTAAGTTATGGTCATAAAGCGAATCTGGCTTCCCCAATATCAGAAGGTTGCAAAAGCAGACCCCATGACCTTGGAATCCTGAAACAGCCATTAATATGAACCAGTTGCTAAGCATCCAAATTTTGATCATGTGATCACGGGAATGCTGCAATGGTCATAAGTGTGAGAAATGGCCAGAAGTCTCTTTTTCCACTTTGAATGGTCACTAAACAAATGGCTGTAAGTTGAGGTACTTACAAGTAGTATCCTTGCTTGTACAGGAAAGGATTAATGCCACCTTGTTCCTTCCCGGATGGAAGAAGAAGCAAAAGGGGGGAAAGCAAAGGTTGTGGGCACCTGCCCAGCTTAATCTCTGTGGAGGGAACAGTTGGAAGCATAAAATAACCCATGTTCTAATGCCACACAAAACTTTACCAAGGTTAACACTCAACCAGCTTAGCACCTTCAAAGGTGTGCACTCACCTGCCATGGTTGATTGGTTTGCAAACTATATCATGGGGAATTGCAAAGCTTCAGCTTGTTGAATGTTTTCCTGGAAGATAGTTGGTGTGATAAGTAGAAGAGTCTGGTGATAACTTTTTTGAAACTTAACATATTTACTATCCCTAAATCCTATTGCTATAGAACCCAAATATTTTTTTCAATATTTTATATATATAAAAACACAGTTATTGCAGTTGAGACAGCTAAGGAATGGATTGATTAAATACATATTTTTAAAGAAATATCAAGGTGTTATCTAATGCAAGAGTGTGATTTTGGATTTTAGGAAAATGTGTAGTTAAAACTGCTTAGGCAGTTTTCATTCTCAACATTGTAGCATATTTACCTCAATCTTTTGGCTAGTGAGTAACAAACCCACCAGTTACAAAAATAAATAGAAATCAATGTGATTGCATCTGGTTTTCCTCTTACTGTGTAATTTCCTGACAATTTAATCTGACTGAATTCAGATAAAGTATGGATAAAATTGCTGCAGTGCCTGTCAAGAACAGCAACTATAAAAAATCACTTCCGTGTATATTAAATTGCTACACACCTCAATATTTTGTTATTTACTCATTTCACAGAAGAAACTCTCAAAATTCTACTCCCATACTTAGCATACATTATAGAGAGCAACTAGTGTCTGTGTGTTTTACAGCATGTTGTGCTCAAATTAGTTTATATTACAGTAAAAATAATGAAACATAATGATGTATGTTTATGCTTCTGAAGAACGAGGAATAAAAAGTATATAAATTTTTAAGTTGAAATTGAGTGTTACTATTACACTCATGCTCTTAGTAATAATGAGGCTATCACACTTTCCCATATACTTTAGTTTGTGATGTTAAAATACAGTAATGCTAAACTCATTTTTGTTTGTTATTCTTTGAAATTAAATTACCACTTGTAGCAGTGGCAAAACTTGTAAATAAATGTTGTATACAAGGAAAGCAGCACCGTGCATTTGAGAATGTTAAGGAAGTTGCCAATTTTAATATTTAGACCTTTGGGTGAGTTGGCTTTAAAATGATGTAATTAGCTGTAACACAACTAGGGGTTTCCAAAAAACCTATGTTTAGCTCACTTGTTTCCAGAAATCTTGATGTTAATCACAATAAATCTGTTGATCTTTGGAACTAATAGGCTGGATTAGTTCCCTGTGAGGACTGTTCTGCCTATACCTGGGAACAGTATGTGTTACCTTGTAGTGGATAATAGTTTTTCAGTTCAAGGACTCTTTTACTGTGAGGTTAAATAAGAATTAAGTAAATTCAACTGGGCTGATATTTAGCTCCTACTGTCTTAATTCCATCAATGCTGTACAGTTATCTTCACTAGCAACCATCACTGGCCTACCTGTATGACTTTGCTTTCTATCCTTTTAAAATTGTCTAAACTGATAATTGCTACTATACAGGTAGTCCTTGATGTACGTCCACAACTGAGCCCAAAATTTATGTTGCTAGATGAGATATTTGTTAAGTGAGTTTTGCCCCATTTGACGACCTTTCATGCCACAATTATTATGTGGATTACTGCAGTTGCTAAGTTAGTAACATAGTTGTTAAGTGAATCTGGCTTCCCCGTTGATTTTGCTTCTCAAAAGGTTGCCAAAGGTGATCACATGGCCCCCAGGACACTTGGCAACCAGTTGCCAAGGTCTGACTTTTGATCATGTGACCATGGCAATGCTGCCATGGTCGTAAGTGTGAAAAATGGTCATAAGTCATTGTAAATTCAGATGGTCACTAAACGAACTATTGTAAATCAAGGAGTACCTGTATCTGTGCTAAAATTATCCAGGTTTTTAAGAAAAGCCTCCGTGGTTTTTTTTTATGATTATTTGAAATGTATTTTATTTATATAGCGCTTTTTAATGCTACCATATGGCAGATTAGGATTCTTGGCAATGGGCATGTAAAACAATAAAATGCCACCAACTAGGCTGGCTGGAGAATTCTGGCAATTGAAGTGCACACACATCTTAAGGTTGCCAAGGTTAAAAAAATACTGAGTTAATCTCATTATCAGGAGACACGCGTGCAAAATAATTTTGCTTTAGCACCTCTGGGTCTTAGTATTGTGAAAATGCTAGAATTCCTTAATTCCTCCCTCATTCTTAATGTGTTTTTTTTTTCCTTTTCTTGAAATCTTCAAAATGTTCAAAATTAAACCACCACCCCTTTTTTAAACTCGTGCATATACAAATAAATACATCCCTTTCTCTTTACCAAATATGATTTGCATAAATTACACTAATGAAAAAAAGTGACTTACGACACTTATGATCCTTGCTGCATCCCCTTGGTCACATGATCAAAATTTGAGCGCTGGTTCATCTGTATGACGGTCGCAGTGTCCCGAGGTCACGTGATCCCCTTCTGCAAACTTCTGCCAAGCAAAGTCATTGGGGAAGCCAGATTCACTTAACGATCATGTTACTAAGTGAACTTAATCCCTGTGGCAAGAAAGGTCGTAAAATGGGGCAAAACTCAACTGTGTCGCTTAGCAGCAGAAAATTTTGGGCTCAGTTGTAGTTGTAAGTTGAAGGCTATCTGTACTTCAGTCCTAGACAGTAGAATAGAATACAGCTGGAAGGGACCTTGGAGATCTTCTAGTCCAGCCCACTGCTCAGGCCGGAGAACCTATACCATATCAGACAGGTGACTGTCTAGCCTCTTCTTAAAAACCTCCAGTGATGGAGCACCCATGATTTCTGGAGGCAAGATGTTCCACTGGTTGATTGTCCTCACTGTCAGGAAGTTTCTCCTTAATTCCAGGTTGCTTCTCTCCTTGATCAGTTTCCAACCATTGTTTCTTGTCCTGCCCTCTGGTGCTTTGGAGAATAGCTTGACTCCCTCTTCTTTGTGGCAGCCCCTCAAATACTTGAACACTGCTATCAGGTCTCCCCTATTTCTTCTTTTCTTTAGATTAGCCAAACCCAAGTTCCGCAGCCGTTCTTCATATGTTTTAGTCTCCAGGCCTTGGATCCTCTTAGTTGCTCTTCTCTGAAATTTTTCCAAACTCTCAACATCTTTTTTGTGATATGGTGACCAAAATTGGCTGCAGTATTCCAAGTGTGGTCTTAATAGGGTTTTATAAAGTGGTACTAATACTTTGCGTGATCTTGATTCTGTGCCTCTGTTTATACAACCCTGTATAAGTGGAAGGCATAAGAAAGAAAATTAAAATTACCCCACTTTGATTAGATTTGCTATAAGATGGGTCAGAGAGAAAGAGAGAGAGTCTTTCCAGATTCTGTTATTTTACCCTACATTTTTTTTTTTTTTCAAAAAAAAAGAGAAACATTCTTAAAATCCCTGCTATGTCTTGTTTCTTGATCTGGCTTCCCATGAAAGTCTGACTAACTGAATTTACTAAATTAGCAAATCAAGAAACAGCATGATGCATTGTCAGTCCGCAGCTCTTTCCAAAGTTTGTTTATCGCATTTTAATGAGATGATGCTTTTGGACAACATTTGCTAACTAGTGCTGAGAATACAAAGGGATATGGCTGTAAAACAATGCTGGGTGTCAAATTTGGAAGGCTCCAGTGCCTGGTTCACAGTTTTGTGAACATGCCTGGTAAACAAGCACCCTGTCAAATTCTATGATCATGTCAAGCTGAGTCCTTAAGCAATATTTTACTAATAAGCTACAAGGAGTGGATTCCTACTGTAAGCTAAACCATGATCAAACAGGTTCTTGGGCATTTTAAGTGCAGTGGGTAAATCCAGTACATGGATCCTTCCACCCTCCATGTCCAAATAGGCACAAGAATGAAACCTGTGTTTGCTACTAACTTGGTTCTGTCATGGCCTTTGTGTTTTGGAAGGGCTATAAGTGTGTCTAAGGAGAGCCAGTTTAGTCTAGTGGTTAAAGGCACCCAGCTGGCTTTCATGCCCAAGGCAGGACTAGAACTCACTGTCTCTTGGTAATTAGCCCAAAGTCACCCAGCTGGCTTTCAAGTGTAAGGCAGGACTAGAACATACCATCACCTAGAAATTAGCCCAAAGTCACCTGGCTGGCTTTCATGCAGAAGGCAGGATTAGAACTCAAAGTCTCTTGGTGATTGGTCCAAAGTCACCTGTCTGGCTTTCATGCAGAAGGCAGGACTAGAATTCACCGTCTCCGGGTGCAAAGTCACTCTGCCAGCTTTCATGCCTAAGGTGCAACTAAAACTCACCGTCTCCTGGTTAATAGCTTGATGCCTGAGGGGTAGGCAACCAACAGTTTGATCTAGTGCAGGGGTAGGCCACCTTGGCTCTTTTATGACTTGTGGACTTCAACTCCCAGAATTCCTGATCCAGCATGGCTCAGCTTGGAAACTTTCCCTTTCTCCTCAGCATGGCTGGCTCAGGAATTCTGGGAGTTGAAGTCCACGAGTCATAAAAGAGCCAAGGTGGCCTACCCCTGTTATAGACCAAATTGTGCTGACTGGGGAATTCTGGGACTTGAAGTCCACACATCTTAAAGCTGCCAGGGTTGAGAAGAAACACTGCTCTGATTAATCAGATATGTCCCTCCCTCCCTGTTTTATTTTATTTCCAGAAGCAGAACGGGAATGGAAGGCCCCTTTCTATTTTATTCAAGGGGCGGATCCTCAGTTTGGACTGATGAAGGCCTACAGCATCGGCGATTGCAGCAGCGGTGGGGACGAATGGGAAGCCGAATTGCAACTCACCCGACAAGCTGTGGAAGCCATTAACCGCCTGAACCCGCCACCCAAATTCTTTGTCCTCTGCGGAGATTTAATACACGGCATGCCTGGTAAGGCAGTTCAAACTCTTGATCAGGAAGGATCACGGTTTGACCCCTTTTTCCCCCAAGCTGCATTGCAAGCAGTGTGTTGTGATGGGAGCTTTGTCACTGTGTTTGTTCGTTTGTTTTTAAGAAGAGGCATCTCCGTATTCTTCAACTTACAACCATTTGTTTAGTGAAAAAAGTAATAGCGCTTAGACTTCTATGCCACTTCGTAGTGCTTTACAGCCCACTCTAGGTGGTTTACAGAGCCAGCCTATTTGCCCCCAACAATCTGGCTCCTCATTTTAGCTACCTCGGAAAGATGGAAGGCTGAGTCAACCTTGAAATGGTCAGGATCAAACTCCTGGCAGTGGGCAGAGTTTGCTTGCAATGCTGCATTCTAACCACTGCGCCACCATGGCTCTCACAAATAAATAAGTGTACAAAAACACGCAGACACACATATATGAACATACATACATACATACAGGCATGTATACCTATATATGTATGCATACACATGCACAAACAAACATACATAGATTTACAAATATTTACCTACTTTTCACATAATTTTAGCCGACCAGTTTTGAGCGGGCCAAGGCAGCTTGCCGGCGGCCACTTGCCAACCCCTTTTGCAATGGAACGTCTACACCCGAGTCGGCTTTTTGTTAAGGCTGGATTAGCAGACAGACTGTGAGCCGCGCGCTTTGCTTTCCTCAACACGTCCGCGTGGAGTAATCTTGTTAGTATCATCAAAAAAAACCCCACGTTCAGCCATCTCTCCATTATTGTAGCCGAGGCCTGAACGCTTCCAAATGCAATCATCGCAAGCTGGCCCCGAAGGGTGCCAGAATAAAACCAGCTTTTTGAATTCGCCTGGCCCATTTGTTTCGTTTCGGTCTGTGGCGCACGGCGTTTCTCTGACAGGCAAATATTTTGGGTTGGGTTCTGCTGGCTTGAAAGGAAAGGGAGAGAATGAGGCGTTGCTGTTTCTACTGAAGCGAAAGAGCGAGGGGAAAGGGGGAGAATTTGGAAAATCCAAATGGCATTTGTGGCTGGTAGGAATGATCCTGGAATTCGAGCGGAGTACAGACTAATGGAGTTGGAAGGGACCCTGGAGGTCTTGTAGTCCATCCCCTTCTCAGGCAGCAGGCCATTCTAGGCAAGTGGCTGTCTAGTCTCTTCTTAAAAGTGATGGAGCACCCACAACTTCTGGAGGCAGGTTGTTCCACTGGTTGATTGTTCTCCCCGTCGGGAAATTTCTCCTTAATTCTAGGTTGCTTCCCTCCTTGATTAGTTTTCCATCCGTTGCTTCTTGTCCTGCCTTCAGGGGCTTTGGAGAAGAGATCCACCCTTTCTTCTTTGTGGCAGCCCCCCTAGTCCTTCTCTTCAGTAGACTAGACAAGGGGTAGGCAACCTTGGCTCTTTTATGACTCATGGACTTCTACTCCCAGAATTCCTGAGCCAGCACGAGAGAAATATGGCCCCTTGATGACTAGTAGACTTCAACTCCCAGAATTCCTGAGCCAGCATGGGGGAACTATGGCCCCTTCATGACTCGTGGATTTCAACTCCTGGAATTCCTGAGCCAGCATGGGGGAACTATGGGCCCCTCATGACTTGCAGACTTCAATTCCCAGAATTCCTGAGCCAGCATGGGGGAACTATGGGCCCCTCATGACTTGCGGACTTCAACTCCCAGAATTCCTGAGCCGGCATGGGGGAACTATGGCCCCTTCATGACTCGTGGACCTCAACTCCCAGAATTCCTGAGCCAGCCTGGCTCAGCTTGGAAACCTCTCCCTTTCCCCTCAGCATGGCTGGCTCAGGAATTCTGGGAGTTGAAGTCCACGAGTCATAAAAGAGCCAAGGTTGCCTACCCCCTCGCCTAGACATACTCAATTCCTGCAACCTTCAAGTAGAAGGCTTACTCAAGAAAATCCTGGCGCATTTTTTAATTGGTTACATTGACATTTCATCTTTCCTCCAAGCTGCGCAAGCTGGCGTGGAATCGCCCCTGTGTTTTCTCCTTGCAAGGTAGGCTGGGGGGGGAGGGGGGAGGGCTAAGTTTGTCACAAACTCATTCCATCAGCAAGAGAGTAAAATCCGTGGGGAAGCCAGATTTGTTTAACATCTGCGGTTACGAATATCACAACTGCAGTGATTCAGCTGTGGGAAGAAAGGGTGTAAAACGGAGTGGAATGTACTTAATCATGGTCTCACTTAGCAACAGAAATTTTGGGCTCCACCCCTTGGGGTCATAAATTGAGGACTAGTGTCCCTTCCTCTCTGGGAGTGAGGGACAATGCTCAGCTGCTCCTCACCAGCCTTGTAAATATAACAAAAGTCTTTGGCTTTTAAGACGCCTGGGAGAACTGCAGCAAAAAAAAAAAAAAGCATCATCAGCTAAAGTGGGCTGCAATCAAGCAAAACACTTGGAGCCGTTTACGAACCCGTTAAAGGGACTAAGTAATCAGCGTCAGTGTCTTCGGTTATGTAAATGGTGATTAAATGGGGGGGGGCTTGGATTATCATTACTAGTACAGCAGGGATGGGTTCCCCCCCCCCCTTTCTCTTGATTGTATGGATGTGTGTGTGACGATACCAAGAATAATCAGCGCGTGCTATCGCAAGACCAGATCGGGAGTGTCGTTACAGCTTTGTGGCCTGCAACACTGCCGCGCAACGTCACTGCTTGGTTGTTAAGCGTTGGCAAAGCTCTGCAGGTGTTGGGGTGCTCGTTGAAAATCTTAAGAAGCTCCCCTTCCACAAGGGGGACCTCCAGATTGATAGGTGCTCAATTACAGTAGTTGAACAATGCTTTGTGGGGTCCTTGGTGCTCTCTGAGCTTAGGCCTTTCCTCGAAGATGTTTCGTGACCCAACTAGGTGACCTCACCGGTGCTAGAAGAGAGTGGGGTTTGCAGGGAGGAGGAGGTGCTCTCTAAGCTTGGTGGTTTTCTTGCAGATGTTTCATTGCCCAACTAGGTGACCTCCTCAGTGCTAGAACGGAGTGGGGTTTGGGAGGAGGAGGAGGGGGGGAGGAGGAGGAGGAGGAGGAAGAAGAAGGAGGAGGAGGAGGAGGAGGAGGAGGAGGAGGAGGAGGAGGAGGAGGAGAAGTAGTTGTCCTTGGTGCTCTCTGAGCTTGGTGGTTTTCTTGCAGATGTTTCATTGCCCAACTAGGTGACCTCATCAGTTGTAGAACGGAGTGGGGTTTGCGAGGAGGAGGAGAGTTGACCTGCTGGGTCCTTGGTACTCTCTGAACTTGTTTCTTTTCTTGCAGATGTCTTATCACCCAACTAGATAACATCATCAGTACTAGAAGAGAATGGTACTTGCAAAGAGGAGGAGGAGGAGGAGAACTGTGGGGTCTTTGGTGTTCTCTGAGTTTGGTTGTTTTCTTGCAGGTCTTTCATTGCCCAACTAGGTGACGTCATCAGTGCTAGAAGGGAGGGGGGCTGCTCTCTCTTTATATACAAGTGACTAGCGGATCAGGGTTGGTGGGAATGCTCTTGGTAGTTCCTTAATTAAGCTGTTGTTTATGGAGCAAGTCTCACTCCTTTTTAGCCCTGTTGATGCTACCTAATTGGATAATGAAACATCTGCAAGAAAACAACCAAGCTCAGAGAGCACCAAGGACCCCCCAGGTCAACTCTTGAGTTATGCATATTCTCTCCTGTTGGTAACTCTGCTTTGAAATCTCTTTTTATTTCTCCGGTTGCAAGAGGTGGCCAAGTTTTTTTTAAGAAGAGACAGAGCTGTCTACAATGCTTCCACGCTAGAAAGGTGAACAATAGGAGGCAGGGAAATATACAGCTAGTCCTTGACTTGCAACATCATCATTTAGCGACCAATCAAAGTTACAGAGGCACTGAAAAAAAGTGACCTGTGACCGTTTTTCACAACAACAACCGTCGCAACATCCCCACGGTCAAACAATCAAAATTCAGATGCTTGGCAATTTGACTCGTATTTAGGACAGTTTCAGCATCCCGGGGTGATGTGATCCCCTTTTCCAATCTTCTGACAAACAATGGGGAAACCAGATTCCCTTAACAACCGTGCAGCAGTGATTCACTTAATGACTGTGGCAAGGGAGGTCATAAAGGGGGGGAACCTGCTGCCTTGGCAACAGAAAGTTTGAGCTCAATTGTGGTCATAAGTCAATTTCTACCTCTACGTAGAAACTTTGAGCAACTAAGAGGATTAAAGGCCTGGAGACCAAAACATATAAAGAGCAATTGCCAGAATTGGCTATGGCCAATCTAGAGAAAAGAAGGACGAGGGGGGGACATGATAGCCATATTTCAGTATCGGAGGGGCTGCCGCAAAGAAGAGGAGGTCAACTTATTTACCAAAGCACCCTGAAGGCAGGACAAGAAACACTGGATGGAAACTAGTCAAGGAGAGAAGCAACCAGGATGCTTAAAAGTTGCCACAATTGAAAAAAAGAACTGTGGGTGGACTTTTACTTAAATCCATTCTTCTGTCTCCTGCATGGTGATCAAGAGAAGACAGATCCTGACCACCTTCTGCAGGATATCTGCTATATAATATCTGGGCCATACCCGAGGGACTGTCTTTTTCCAAGAGTCAGAATAATAGAGTTTGAAGAGAACTTGGAGGTCTTCTAGTCCAGCCCCCTGCTCAAGCAGGAAACCCTATACCATTTCAGACAAATAGTGGTTTAATCTGTTCTTGAAAACCTGCAGTGATGGAGCACCCACAACTTCCGGAGGCAAGCCATTCCACTGATTGATGGTTCTCACGGTCAGGAAATTCCTCCTTAATTTTAGGGCGGTTCTCTCTTTGATTAACGTCAATCCATTACTTCTTGTCCCGTCTTTGGAGAAGAGGTTGACCCCCGCTCTTCTTTCTGGCAGCCCCTCAGATTGCTTGCCTTCTCTTGGGAGCAGAGAGATGAGGCTCTATGGAGCTGAGGGCAGGTCAGTTCTGGATCTCTTTTGGCTACGCAACGATTCTAGGCTAATTCCTCGCTTGAGACTCCCTCCCTGTCTGGTTGAGCATTTCCCAACATCCTGCAACTTAACCTCTCGTAAGAATTCACTCTTCTCGTTTTGCAGGGACGGAATGGAGGGAGGCCCAAATTCGGGATCTAAGAAACGTCCTGAAGGACCTTCGAAGCGACATCCCTCTGGTTTTTGTCAGTGGCAATCACGACCTGGGGAATACGCCCACGCCGGAGACGGTCAGCGATTATTGCCAGCAGTGGGGTGATGATTACTTCAGCTTTTGGGTCGGCGGCGTCTTCTTTCTCGTGTTGAATTCCCAGCTATATTTCGATGCTTCTCAGTGCTCAGAACTAAAGGCGGTGCAGGACGCCTGGCTGGAGCAGCAGCTGGCCGTGGCGGGAAAAAAACAATGCCGCCATGCCATCGTCTTTCAACACATCCCCTTCTTCGTCAACGAACCTGAAGAAGACCACAACTACTTCAATTTGGAGAAGGCTGTTCGACACGAGCTCCTAGAAAAATTCTGCCGAGCAGGTATTGTTTTGCCCGTGGAATTCAGTTTTTATATATTTCTAGATAGTGCTAAGGGTTTCTGAAATAAATTATATAAAAAGTTTTACAGAAAACGTTAAAATAATAAATAAAAACTAACACAAGCTAATATAGAAAAGAGAGAGGAAGGAAGGAAGGAAGGAAGGAAGGAAGGAAGGAAGGAAGGAAGGAAGGAAGGAAGGAAGGAAGGAAGGAAGGAAGGAAGGGAGGGTAGGGAAAGGAAAGGAAAGGAAGTTCCAATTTCTTCTGCAGCAAATCTGAATACACTTACAAAATTATTTCTTACTCTATAATTACAAAAACAGCTTACTTTTTACTATTACCATTGTACCCCTGATCATCAAAACCACAAGGTCAGGGAATGTACATCTGACTGGAAACCCCTTATAGACTTTTTGCATGAAATGGGGAAAAATGCACCTCTTGAGAATGTTTATTAATATATCAGTCACTAGCCAGTATTGGTTTATACACTAAACCATTATTAAGTAAACTATGGTTCATCCTATGTGAAGCTGGTCATTACAAATTCTTTCATTCATAATTATTTGTTTTATAGCAGCCTTCTGTTTCACTGAAGTACTCTCATTTTTTCCCCTAAAACAACCTGTTTGTATTTATTCTGTTTGAAGTCCCCCATGAAACAAAAACGTTTGTCTGTTTGTTGTTTAATTGGATTTCTTCAACGGCCCATTCATTTTACGCCAGAGAGCTAAACTTGAGCTTCAGTAGCTACATCTGGTGTGAAATGCAGAGCTTCCTTTCTCACTTTACAAGTGTCCCTAACAGTTGGGCTAATTAAAAATAAAATTGCATCCTTATCATAAATATTTGTCAATTGAAAAATCTGGCACTTTTTAATTTCACCGTTAAGCCATGAAGATGATTGAGCGCTATCAAAAAACTATCATGGTGGTTAAGGAGAGACAAAAAGATGACCGAAGAATCTGATCTTGAAAAGATCATTTTTTTCCTTAATATTAGATCAGGGGTCTTCAAACTTGGCCCTTTGATGACTTATGGACTTCCACTCCCAGAATTCCTCAGCCAGGCACGCTGGCTGAGGAATTCTGGGAGTTGAAGTCCACAAGTCATGAAGGGGCCATGGTTCCCCCATGCTGGTTGAGGAATTCTGGGAGTGGAAGTCCACAAGTCATAAAAGGGCCAAGTTTAGAAGATCCCTGCATTAGATGGTTCTTGTAGGAATCCTACCTGAAGTATTTCAAGGTAGCAGATATTTAGCTGAATTAGAACAATCAAAGAGGTGGTTAGAAAGCCGATTTGTTTTCCCCAATCCATTTTATATAAGCCAAGCCAGTGTGTCAACGATAACAGGACCATGAGTTTTTTAATAGGTAGGACCCAAAACACCAGTGGGTTGAGTTGGCTTGACCCCCAACTTAGCAGTCCTCCGGTTCCCCAGTTGATTCTTTCACTCTTGGGTGGTGTCAATCCTGCCCAACAAACAAGATCGCATTTGCTATTGCAGACATTTCCATAACAGACCATTGTGTAGTAAATCTGCCAAGTGTGCAAGATACAATCCACACTGGAATGCATGAGAAGGCTGCTAACATAAATTCTGGAAAAGAAGATGAAGCTATAAACCAATCCACTATTAAAGCAGAATGCTAAAGAAGGCACCCACATAACAAAACAAAAAAAAAGACAACATTGAAATACATACCGATTCAGAATCTAAATTGTCTATGGAGATTCTCAGTCATCCAGGTCATAGTTATCCCAAAGGTGCTTTTTCACAAGGCAACTGGACGTTCTTCTTTGAAGACATTTCGCTTCTCCTCCAACAAGCTTCTTCAGCTCTGACTGGATGGTGGGGAATGGAAGGATTTACGCTCCTTGCGGAGAGCTGTTCATTTGCTTTCTTTTAGAGAGTCATTAAAGTTACCAATTTTCTTACAGAGGTTTCATTAGCAAACTAGCATGATGTTACCTAGTTTGGTAATGAAACATCTGCAAGTAAACCACTAAGCTCAGAAAGCACCAAGGACCCCCCAGTCATCGTCCTCCTCCTTCACCACAAACACACATTCCCTTCTCTTCTAGCATTGATGTTACCTAGTTTGGTAATGAAACATATACAAGGAAACCACCAAGCTCAGAGAGCACCAAGGACCCCACAGTTGTCGTCCTCGTCCTCCTCCTCCTCCTCCTCCTCCTCCTCCTCCTCCTCCTCCTCCACAAACACACATTCCCTTCCCTTCTAGCATTGATGTTACCTAGTTTGGTAATGAAACATCTGCAAGGAAACCACCAAGCTCAGAGAGCACCAAGGACCCCACAGTTGTTATCCTCCTCCTCCTCCTCCTCCACAAACACACATTCCCTTCTCTTCTAGCATTGATGTTACCTTGCTAATGAAACATCTGCAAGGAAACCACCAAGCTCAGAGAGCACCAAGGACCCTACAGTTCAACCCTGCGCTACACATATTCTCTTGTATTGATCTTCTGTTATTGATGGACAACCTTGATCAGGAAGGGTTGAAAGCAACTGAATGAACAAAAGCAATCATGACTTAATCTGATACGGCCTAGATGCCTAGCTGCTCTTTCCTCTCTGGAATGCCTTTAGGATTCCAACTTCCCCCTGTCAGGAGTATCGACAAGTCCCAACAGTTGAGGTACACCGAACTCCAGCGCAACCTTTGTGATGGGACTCATAGCACATCACAAAGAGTATAACTCTCAACCACACACACAGACACACACAGGCTCCAAAACACATTCCAAAACAAAACCTAAGAACTGGCTATCTCATTCACAAGGGACAGTGAGTGATGGCTCCAGGATGCCTCGAGCAGAAGACATTTCACAGATCATAACGCAGAACCGATTCGTTGCTAATCAGATGACGGGAATGCAACTTACTGGTTGTTCCAGATAGCTGCTTCTCGCCTATTCCCCACTGTGTTTTCTTCATTAAAAGTTTCTTTTGAGGTGTGTCAGACCAGAATGTTAAAATGCTCTGGAAGTTCTGCCAAGGATTTTGATTAAAAACAACAAAATAAAAAAGCCGACTCAGCTTGAAAAACCCAGCCCCGAGTCACAAAACCAGCTTTTTGAAGTTTATGGCACTGAATTATAGATACGATGACTACCCTGGACAGATTAACTTTGATGGAGCCGTGTTCAGCGAAGGAACTTCGGGGAGATCTGAAAACCAGGCTGGGTAAGTGACAGAGAGCCGAAAAACCAAGTGACTGTTGTGCTGTCAGTTTTTATGGATGATCTTTTTTTTTTTTTTTTTGCCTGTGTTTGTTGTGTATGTGGGTTGCTTTTCAATTACTCACAGCACCTTCCTTGAAGAGACAAATTTGAAAATCCAGCAGAAAGCTGCAGAAGAAAAACAGGTGGCGGGTGGCAAAGCCCCAGAGGATAGGGTGTCATGTCAGTCTTGCTGCTAGAAAACTCACCTCCCCAAAGGAACTTTTCCTCTTGTTTTGATTCTCTGCCTTAAACCTTTCCTCGAAAGAAAGACAAAAAAAAAAAAAAAAAGCATCAAAGAAGGACAATTCTTATCTTCTGTCTTTGGGAAGGAGAACATCTGGCCCCCGCGTAATTCAGAAGGACCTAACTTCAGCCTTAGGTCTTGTCTCCAAACCTCTCCAGAAGTTCTACATTTGGATGTATTTATGGGGAGGGGGTTCTGATGTGCCCCAGGGGACACTTGCCACAACAGTATTTCATTCAGTGCAGTTTGCATTGAAATCAAATCAAATGTAGTTTATGCCCTAGCTAAGCTCACTTTTGGGGCTGTGATTGCCCTTTTGAAATCTGAGTGCAACCTTCAGCTAGAACAACTGAGACCAATTGTTCTCCCCCCCCCCAAAAAAAAATTGGATTAAATGTTTCAGGAAGTGCTTGCCAATTCAAACATCAGGATGTTTATTTTACAGCGTTAGATTAACCACAGACCGTTCTCCTTTTCTACCCGGCTCTTAAGAGGGAATGGATATGTCTCCCATATTAGGCAACCATTTCCTAATCCATTAGATGATTCTCAACCTTGGCAACTTTAAGATGGATGGACTTCAACTCCCAGAATTCTCCAGCCAGCTGACGCTAAGGCTAATGCTGGTTTGGGAATTTGGGGAATTGAAGTCCACACATTTTAATCTTGCCAAGGTTGAGAAACACTGAGCTAGACCATTCTATCCCCCTAACCCAGGGGCCTTCAAACTTGGCCCTTTTATGACTTGTGGACTTCAACTCCCAGAATTCCTCAGCCAGCCTCCATTTTGTTTGTTAGATTTAAGACAGGGGCCTTCAAACTTGGCCCTTTTATGACTTGTGGACTTCAACTCCCAGAATTCCTCAGCCAGTGTGCCTCAGAAAAATCAGTTCATCAAAAGTTTAAATGATGAACAAGCCATGGAAAACTCCTTTTCCCTCCTTTAATGAAAAACCTTTCAAATAAAAAAATCCTTGTCAAACAACCTGGGAGGTTGGGTGGGACTCAAAGTCATCATCTTGGACCATCTAAGATTTTTTTTTTAAAAAATAAAATAAAATTGGGAAACCATGCCCGTTCTGGAATTCTTTCAGCTTGAGCCCAAATAATGGCTTGGTTTGGTTTGTTTTCCAACAGGTATTAAAACGGTATTTTCTGGACACCTTCACAAGAATGCTGGAGGAACATACAAAGATCTCGACATGATCATTTCATCGGCCATCGGATGCCAGCTAGGAGATGACAGCCACGGTGTGCGGATGGTGGGGGTCACCGCAGAAAAGATCATCCATCGATATTACAGTCTGAGCGAGCTGAGTAACCAAGCAAAAATCGAAAAAGAGTTTATGGCGTTGATAAAACCAAATTAGTTCTAGGTTCTGAATAGCATTTTTCTTTCTGTTTCCGTGATTTTGTTTTTTTTAAATCATAGCTTTGATTGTTATTTGCTAAGGAAACATCTCACAGCTGAAAAGAATACAGATATGCAAACTCTGAATACTTTCTCCCAGTCATGGAAAGATCTCGACTTTCATTATTGAATAGTGACACCCCTCTAGAATTTGTAACCAAGACAAGAAAATACGGGGAATGTCCCACTCTTAGAAAACAAGCAGCTCTTTTTTTTTTTTTTTTTGCATGCAAAGGCCCTTGTGGATAAGCAAGATAATTCTGTCTCTTTAGCAAACCAACAAGGCTGGAACAGGCTATGATATCATGGGGACCGTAAAAAAGGAATCTCTGCTATTTCAGAGCAGATGGCGGGCATCATTATGCCCTTATATAATAGATCAAATTAAATTCACATTTTCTCTGCACGATTTTTGCTGAGTTACAGACTTCCGTCACAGCTAGGGCTTCTCAAATGATGCCACGTACCAATTTTGTGCCTTTTGCCTCTCGGAGATTAGCACGCTTTGCCCTCTTCCGTAAATATACCTGTAGGCAGGATCAGGAAGGGCTAAATAAGTGGCAGTTGAGAAGAAGTCATTTCCTAATTCACATTTAATGGATTGAGAATGGGGTGGAATAACTAAATTGGTGAGTGGGTGGGTGGGTGGGTGGTTTCCTGGAAGAATGACATTACGGCAATTGCATTCTGCGATTAAAATGGCACCCATTGGTTGGCCAGTTTGTTCACTGAAAAAATGGGAGGGAGATTTTGTAACTGCTGGCCCCTAAAAACAGTGAATAATTATGGTCCACCCAAAGTGTAGCAGTATTAAATCCTGATTTGCTAACACTGTGTCAGAGTGGACCATCTAGCACAGATGGAGGACCTGTAACTTCCTAAAGTTTGTAACAGTCTTTGTTGGGTGAAAAATTAAATGTTGTTACAGCTATATTGCCAAGGGCAAGTGTGATGCTGTGTGATATAGGTGGTGTCAAAACTGAGTAAATGTTTGTTTCTGCTTAAGTGGTAAAGGAGTTCTCTCACACATGCATACACCATCCCTCCCTCCATCTATTAATTCTGTTTTTACAAGCATTTATACATTGCCAGATGAAAATAAGACCTGCAATTGTTCACGCAGCTGACCTTTAAATCTGTTGGACCCATGGAAATCAATAAACACACGAGTGAAAAACCTCCTGCCTTGACCATTTTTATGTCTACAACAGTAAAAACTAAACTATTTCCATATGCACCTGTTATTTTTAAGCGCAGAGGATATGATGATCATGCCTCACACATATTTGCAGGAAAGGGAAATTGGTGAAAATTACTTTCCATTAGAAAGGAAATTGCTTTGGGCTGTAACTCAAGGTTTTCTGCTTATTACAAAGGGCTCTATATGCAAGGAAAAGTGCTGTGATTTCATATCACGATGTCTTCGGTGCCACTGGGATGCCGGGCCTTTTACTGAGAAGAGCCTGGAAGAAGAGCAAAAGCATTGGACTTGAAATAAATTCACTTCGGAGTAATGCACAAAACTTTGCTTTGCCAAGCTAATACTTTGCTTTTTGTACAAAACTAGAGGTATTCTCTTTCTTTGCCTGATCCTAGAGATAAGGCACTTTCTGTTTTGCTCCTCAATTATCTATCTATCTATCTATCTATCTATCTATCTATCTATCTATCTATCTATCTATCTATCTATATCTCATCTATGATCCATATCATCTGTCATCTACATCTATCTATCTATCTATCTATCTATCTATCTATCTACTATCCTATCAATATCTCATCTATGATCCATATCATCTGTCATCCATATCATCTGTCTCAATTATCTATCTATCTATCTATCTATCTATCTATCTATCTATCTATCTATCTATCTATCATCTATCTGTCCTATCAATATCTATGATCCATATCATCTGTCATCTACATCTATCTATCTATCTATCTGGCTATCTCTATCCTATCAATATCTCATGTATCATCTGTCTATCGTTCATATCATCTGTCATCTACATCTATCTATGTATCTATCTATCTATCTATTCTATCAATATCTCATCTATCATCTGTCTATCATCCACATCATCTCTCTCTCTCTCTATCTATCTATCTATCTATCTATCTATCTATCTATCTATCTGTCTATCTATCTGTCTATCTATCTGTCTATCTAATTTATTGGTTGCCCGTCTTACCATAAGCTTTTGCCTTATCTAGGAGCCCAGTAACTGTTAGACACTTGAAACACGTCGTCCTTCATTTATAATCCAAAGCACTAAAAAAAGTGGTCATCAGTCTTGAACCCCTTTGGGCCCACAAGGAATCTCATGCAAATCACCTTGAATTCCAGGTACCCCCAACTTGCTTTGACCATCAGCAGTTCAGATTCTTGTGGAAAGTTTTAGCATGCAATAAACCTGTAGTCATTTGAACCTCCTTGCTTCCTAATTTATTGCTCCTGACACCATCTAGCTGATTGGGAAAAGAGCAGGTCAACGTAAGCAGATAGAATCAGAAAGAAGGAGAAACAATAGTTCTAAATTCCCTCCCACTGACCAAAGTTCCCATCCCATCAGTTGGACAAGCGTGAAAAAGAAAGTTGGTGTTTAAAATTTGGATAATCGTAGGAAAAATGAGATGTCCTCAGAAGCAACATACATTCACATTCCTGCAGGTTTAGAGGTAGTCCTTGACTTACAGTTATTTGTTTAGTGACCATGCAAGGTTACAATAGCACTCAAAAAAAGTGACATAACTCTTTTTCACATGGCTGTTGCAGTATCCCGGAGGTCACACGATCAAAACTCAGACGCTTGGCAACTGATTCATATTTATGACCACTTGCTGTATCCCCAGGGTCCTGGCAAGCAAAAGTCAAAGGGGGGGGAGCCAGTTTCACTTAACAACCCGGTTACTATCTTAACAACTGCAATGGCAAGAAAAGTTGTCAAATGGGTCAAAACTCCACAAACGTCTCACTTAGCAACATAAATTTTGGGCTCAGTTGCAGTCGTAAGTCAAGGGCTACCCTGCAATGAAATCTGTAGGGTAGGAATTGGATTGAACACTAAAATGTGGATGACACCGAGAAGTTGCATTCCAGTTACAAACGCTTGGCCAACTCCGTGTTACAATCCAATTTCCATCTGCAAAGTCACTGAGGGAGAACTTGGGTTGGCTACGGCTGGCCAATTTTATTTTATTTATTTTTTTAAAAAAAAAGGCAAGATTAATACTGATGTTGATGCCTCTCCTAATCAGAGGTGGCAAAGGCCTCTGTGGTCACACAGTATTTTCCCTTCATTTGTTTATGTGGAACAAAATAGCTCCTGCTGAGTAGAGTTAGGAAACAAACCACCCACAGAGACACTCTAATTATCACCAAAGGAAGCAAGCTTTTGATCTGCGGAAGATAATATTTCTATCTTTTTTTCCAAGGAGACTGGTGGTTGTAAATAGTTCTTAAAGCAGGGGTGTCCAACCTTGGCAACTTGAAAACTTGTGGACTTCGACTCCCAGAATTCCTCAGCCAGCCATGCTGGCTGGCTGGGGAATTCTGAAAGTTGGAAGTCCACAAGACTTTGAAGTTTCAAAATTGGACACCCTTATCTTAAAGTATGGAAGGCTGGGGAAGTATTTCTTAAAGGGTGGGGGTTATGTTTGTCGCTTCCAACTATGAATGGAGACCACTCTATGGTTGGTGGTGGCTTGAGAAGAATGAATTGACCCTCAGGGGGAAGGATCACACCCGCCTGAAATATCTCAAATCAGGGGTCACATACTTGACCTTAATGAAAAGGGTGAGTTCAGATGAATCTACTTACCTCTCTCTTCATCACTCCTGTAAGCTGCAACCATAAGGACATCCAAAGAGTCATAAAACATTAAAACACAAAATTTAATAACAACGTTGGTATCCTCCATGGCTGAGGGTGGACTATCCATAAATTGTGAAAAGTAAGCTGTTTCTTACGCCTTTGGAAACCTACTTGCAGTGATTAAGTTTGGTTGATTCTAGAATTGCATTTAGATTATTTCGTTTGGTTGCTTTTCTTGCTGAATGTTTAAATTCCTGGTTTGTTTGTTTTTTATATTGGACTCTTTAAATAGTGGAATACCTGAAAACAACAGAAGAGAAAGAACTGGAGAAAACCACACATACGAAGACATGCAAATAGAAGTGGAATGACTGCGGCAAAAGAAAGCAAAGATAGTACCAATGGGGATAGGCGCCTTGGCTGCAACCCCAAAACATCTGGAGGATCCCTTGAACACCATCGGCACTGACAAAATCACCACCAGTCAATTGCAAAAGGCAGCTTTACTAGGAATAGCTTACATCCTGCCTTTGTGATGTATACTGCCTTTATGGATACCTTTAATGCCATCAAACACCATCTGCCTACCCCAGGTCTTTAGGACGGACTCGATAGGTGGATAAAAATGCCAAAGCCAGTCTAAACATCTGGCTGACTGTATGATGAACCATGATAATAATGAGGAGGAGGAGGAGGAGGAGGAGGTGGTGAAGTCCTTTTGCTCCTTCTAACGAAAAAGAAGTCAATCAATAATCAGAATAGAGGTGGAAGAGACCATGGAGGTCTTCTAATCCACCCCCCTGCTCAAGCAGCAGACCCTATACCCTTTCAGATTGTATTTATTGCAAAGAGGTGTGGGAGTTACAGCTTGGGCTGTCAGGAAAAGCTGGCCCAAACATTGATCCAGAATCGCAAGACAGATTGGATGCCCCTGAATCAGATCAGATCATTTAGACCAGTGGTTCTTAACCTTTTTGAACGAATCGCCCCCTTGAGCCAATGAGGAAGTTATCATCGCCCCCCTCCCCCAACATAACTTCTCAATCACAACATAGGAAATAATTCTTCGATTTACGCGAACACTTTTTTTGTTTTCTTTAAAATTGTCACCAGGACATATCGATGCAAATAATTTATTTCCAGTCTTTTTCCCATATCTCCCATATTCTGGCCAATGGCGCGCCACTGTATGGGTAGAGGCTGCTGTGCAACGCGCATGAAGATAAGCGATGTGTATTCACATATGTACGGTGTTCCGTACTGAAGCTAGCTGGAGGAACATTTGAAAGCACAATTCAATCCACCAATAGCGAGCGATCTGATGTTTTTGTATGACAGATATACAGTGATTCACTGTACGAAAACGTCTCAAACGTGTCCCCAAAACTTCTCGCTCCATCACCCCCATATTGCCCCCTTTTCATTCCTTCACTCCCACGTCGCCCCTTTTCATTCCATCGCCCCCCTGAAAAATGAAATCGCCCCCTGGGGGGCAATATCGCCCAGGTTAAGAACCACTGATTTAGACCCAGCCGAAGGTATGCCAAAATTGCTTCCCCCAAACTCTTCCCCAAAATCCATGTTGAAACTTTGGAAACCCACACAAGTCTGGCATCTCATCTGACCCCAAGATCTTTGCTGCAGGACATCTGAAGAGGCGTCGGGGAATCCTGATGTTCCAGAGAATTTGGGGGCCCGGCTTTTCACGTGCCCCCGTGATCAGCTGCGAAAGACCTTCGAAGCCCTTTGCTTTAACAGCTCTGCAGGCTCTTCCTGGCGAATTAGTACAA